ATCATGTTTGTTGTCTCCTTCATTCAGACAACCGTTCATATCAAATACTTGGACTGTCAGAACTATGTGGTGGTCTCATTATACATAATGCGTATAGATCGCTATAAGACCACATAATTCTTTTGCTTGTGATCACAGCAAAAGATTTGGAAGGTTGGCCCTAGAGACAATTCTCTGTCATCCTGAATGATGGCAGTATTACCTATTCCTCTTAATTTCTTCTATAGAAAAACAAAACAAAACATTCTTATAATCTACAAATGCTCATAAACTAAAGAAAGGGAATTTTGAAGAATTGTTCTTTGCTGAGAGAAGATCCATAGGATTAAAGTGATTTAAGTTATTACCTGGTCTGTATTATAAGATCAAAGGCAATTTGCAGAATCTGTTGGAATTATTCTTGAGAATGCCCACAATAAAACATTCAACTACCTCTAACTAAAGAAAGATAGAGTAGAAGACATTCCTGTGAAAGGGATTCAGACCCAAGGGAGTCCTTGTAGCTCTTTGGAGGATGTTTCATTCTGAATGGGCCCAGATCACAATGTTCTTATTCACAGTTAGAATTTTGGATTTTCTTGAAAATGGACTTATTGAAAGCTGCCAGAATGTGACCATCTTTGCAAAGAATTATGGAAAGATGAAAACATTGAATTCAACGTGTTCTATGTGAAAGCTCTTTACAGATTATAAAGGGCTGGTGGGGAACAATGAATTTCTATGGTTCCAACTGTATTCTGGTTATATTCATATACATTGCATATAAGTTATATATACATATAAATCTATACTGTCCATAAGAAATGACTGTTTGTCTATAAACTTCAGAAGAAAGGCTGCCATCAGCAAGTTGTATGCAAATGGTCAATTTCCAGAGTAAAGGAACAGCTGAGAACCAGCTTAGATTTGTCTAAAGTTTCTCGTTTGGCATCTAAAGCTTTTCATAACCTGGCTGTATCCTACTTTAAGAATATTAGACTTTCTCCCATCCACACACCCTAATGCGGCCATGTTGGCTTCCTTGCTCTTCTTTGAGAGTTACACTCCACCTTCTTTCCTCCTGCCTGTGCACCGACGTCCCCCAAGCCTAGAAGGCACTCCTTCTTCACCCATGCCTCTGAGAATCCCTGGTTTTCTTCAAGAATCAGTTTGAATTTCTGGAGGAGGCTTCTTCTGGTTCTTCCAAATATTAGAGGCTTTCTCTTCTCTAATGCTACCTTTCATCTATTCTGACAATACCTTCTATGAGGCTATTTCTAGACATGTCTCCTTCATTAGAATGTGAGTTCGTTGAGAGTAGGAACTGTTTTTGCCTTTTTTTTTTT